ATGCAAAAGATAAAAGTATATACCTGAAATATTTACAGGTTATTATATGTCAATTATAAGAAAGCTAAAAAATTGTATACATCTAAAGCTGAGGTAAGAAAGGAAACACACATTCTTCAATAGTTAAACTAATAAAGAGCCTAAGAATTAAACTAATAAAGAGCCTAAGAATTCATTAGCTAATAATCAGTCTCAATAATTTGGAGAAGGCAAATTTTATGAAAAGGAGAGTATAGAAAGACAGCCTTAGGCAAAAGAGCAAAATTTAAACATATTGAAAGTGAACATATGCACAGAGTGTCAGCAACGTCAAATTTTCATGCTTTTATTTTACTATTTTATTTTTTTTAAATATATTTTTAGTTGTAGATAGACACAATACTTTTATTTATCTATCTATCTTCTATTTATTTATTGATTTATTTTTATGTGGTGCTGAGAATTGAATCCATTGCCTCACACATGCCAGGCACGTGCTCTACCACTGAGCTACAGCCCCAGCCCCAGCCCCAAATTTTCATGCTTTTAAAAGACAAATAAAATTTAAAGAACTCAGGTTAAACTTTAGAAAAACAATTATGCATCAATTATACATATATATCTGATATATATTTATATATTTTTTCAAGGCTGCCTCATTTAATGTTGATATACTTTCCGGGAAACACTATGAGTCATTGTAATTCATGTGTATGCATGCTTTAAAAGGAAATATATAGACTGGGGTTGTGGCTTAGTGATAGAGTGCTTACCTAGCATGTGTGAGGCACTGAGTTTGATCTTCAGTGCCACATAAAAATAAAATAAAAGTAAAGGTACTATGTTCATCTACAACTAAAAAATGAAATATGTAAAATTATCACAAAATTTAAATTTATGGAAGCAAACATACCATGTGTAGATGATAATGCTGTAAATCACTGTAAAGTAATTTTTTATTTTGCATTCATCACACAGAGCACTGATACCTACATGGTACACTATACATACCTAGGCTATATGTGATAACTGTCACTGTACATGCGGTCTATCACCAACCAAAAGGTCATTATGCCACACATGGCTGAATGCTATAACGTTACAGCAGTTAATGTACACCTCATAATAAGATGAATAAATAGACCTATTGATCTAAAGACAGAACCTTTAAAGAGACACTTGCAATTTAGACAATGATAAGTTACAAGAGTTTGCACTGCAGGAAAGTAGAAAAATGGCATCGTTTCCAAAGAAAGCTGCTGGGAAAATGGGGTATCTGTGCGACTGATAATAAATGCAATTGTGGCCTTTCCTCATATCACATGATAAATCATTGTCCTCTGACACTTAAATACAAAAGCAAATCAAAACATTCAAAAATTATTATAACAAAGAGAGTTACAGGGTGGACACGGTGGTACACATCTATAATACCAGCTTTCCTGGAAAGCTAGGACAGGAAGATAGAAATTTCTATGGCAGCCTGGGCAACTTAGTGAGACCCTGTCTTATTATATGTCAATTATACTACAATAAAGCTATAAAAATTATATGCATCTAAATATATAAATTTCAAATAGGGCTGAAATGTAGCTCAGTGGTAGCACTCCTTTGGTTCTAATCCTAAGAACCAAAACAAGGGAGTTATTTTCAAAGTTATACAAAACAACATGTTAAAAAATAATAAAATTGGGCAACATTAAAATAAAAATTTTATTCATCAAATGCTACCATTAAAAGGTAAAAAGAGAAGTGACATAGTGGATGAAAATAATTCCCTCACATATAACCAAACATTTTTAATGTGAAAGAAAAAGACAGGACACCAAAAAAAAAAAAAAAAAAAAGCAGGCTTGAGTGATTTATAAAGGAGATATCTCAATAGTTAATACTCATAAAAAGGCTCCAAAAATCTTAAGGAATCTTAGAGCAATGTAAAAAAAAAGTCACATCAGCTAGATAAAATTAAACAATAATAAAAAAACATGGAATAAATGGATTATGAACTAAAGAGAAAATGTAATTTGTGCTTACAGAAACTGGCTATGAAGATACATGATACACCATCAGCACAGTGCATGTGTGAACTATAAAAAACATGTGAGGACCCAGCAATTCTGGTCAAAACAATTGAAATCTAGAGGGAGGGGAAAGTTTTCTCTGGTTTGCGTCTTAGGAATAAATAATAAAGTGGGGAAAAATGATTTCTAGGACCCAGCCACATTTTTGGTCACATTACATTCAGTTTAACCACAAAAAACATCAGATAAGTATTAGAGAGCTGTCTCATCCACGTGATACTTCATGTGTATGCATGCTTTCAAAGGAAATATTTATAATTTACCAGAAAATTAAAATTTACAAAAGCAAATAAAAGACTCAATCACACACACAATGTGTAGATGATAAAACTCATCCTTCTACAGATTATCATTTTCCTCACAGTTAATTTCCAACATTATCCATCAAAATTTCAGCGTGCTTTCCTTTTAGTGAAAGAAAGGACAAAACACCCTACAATTCATCTGTAAAATACATACAAAATTAGCCAAAACCCCCTCTGATTTCTAAGAGCAAAACAAGTAGTTGTCATTACTTGACACTAATATATATTATGAAACTCTAATTGTGCATTAATAGTGACTAAGGATTCATAATGAAAACAAAACCCATAGCTGAATCCACATGTATGTAAATTTTCTATTGTCAAGAGCAATAGAAAGGCCAATACCAATCCAAAACTTATCAAGAATTACATCAGATTTGAATGTATGATCAATCCAATCTAAAAGTAGGTGCTGGGCTTGGGGGCACACAGCTCACTGGTAGAGTGTGCATGCAGAATATGCAAGGTCTGGGTTTAAACCCCAGCACCACAATAAAAGGAAGATGTTAATGGAGGATAATGTTGGAAATTCAGCAGAATAGAAGACTCCTGCCTCTCCCTTTCTCTATGGATACACTGTTTCCATAAATATCTACACATTTCAAGACCTTAGACAAAGTCAGGTCACAAATGAGTTGAGACACTTAGGAGAGGAAGATTGGGACCATATATATCTGAACTTTAAAGTTTTCTCTGGTTTGCATCTTATTTACCTAGTGCTGAGAGAGGAAGGGATCACATACATATACACAAGTATCAAGACCACTTTCATGAGTGGTCTGGGACCAGGGATGACAATTAGTTAAATCTTGAAGGTTTCAGTTTATCCATAGAATGACTCTCCATCTGCCAGCACACTCTGCCAACTGCTGTCTAGCCAGAATTATAAAGATAAAAAGGAAAATATAGGCTCCCACTAGCAGCCTGAGTGGGAATTTGGCACTTCCTGAGCTCTCTCCCACAGTTCACTCTAGTAATAACTCCAATTCTTCCTAGAAGGAGTCTGTCCAGGCACTGAGAGCCTCAACTTCAACACCTTTTCTTCCTGGGTTTTCATCCTAATCTTCTGTGAGCAAAGGTAACTGAGCATGTGTAAATCTCCATAGATCATAAACAAGTGGTTTTACTTTGTTATGCAAGTACTCCTTAGGGCCACAATCCCCACCAGTAGTGAAGAAAAGGGGTTAAAATCCACAGATCTCAGAAAAAGTCACAGCACACTCTTCTAGTGGCAACTTGACAGACTGTATTCTAAATTGCATTAGGGACTTAATGCACCAATCAATAGCAGACCTCCTGCAGCCTGAACAGTGTTGTTAAAATGGTTATTATCAAAAAGTTGCAAGATAACAAGTGCTTCAGAGTACAGACATATGAGGAAAAGAAAACCCTTATAGAATGTTGGTTATAATATAAATCTTGTACAGTTTTTAAAATAGCATAAATATTCTTCAAAAAACTAAAAATAGAGCTACCATATAATCCAGTAACAATAATTCTGGGTACATATCTAAAGGGATTGGAACCAGTATGTCAAAGAAATGACTGTACTCTCATTTTCATTGAAGTGCTATTCACAGTAGCTAATAAAAGAAACAATTGACATGCCTTTTAGATGAAAGAAAGATCAGAGCAGGACATTCAGTTATTTTCTGAGAAGCTCCACCCTCACAATTCCAGCTATTCTCAAGGAGCACACGACCCAGGGAATGTGTACACTAGACACTCCAGGAGGATTTAGACATGGGGTTGCAGCACTTTGTGTCAGGCAGTTATCAAACCGAGGGCCAAGAAAAGATAGGAGGATGGAGTGTGGACACTTCACACAATTAAGTCTACAGAGGAGAATCTCAACTCAAAAAAAAAAAAAAATAGTGGTAAGTTTTTGTGCTTAGGAAAGAGAAAGGGAAAGGCACACATATTTTTCCCCCCAAATGCTCAAGCAATTTTCCGCTCTCCTCTCATAAAAAAAAAAAACCAACCAAACAAAACAAAACAAACCCTCAAAACAGAACACAAAATCTTTAAAAAGTGCCATTCAATACTTGGAGAAAAATATGTCCATTTGAAATGTAGCATGGGAAACAAATAGTTCACAACCTGGAGAGGAGAATTCAGCATTGCAATAAGGACAGGGAGCTGGAAATCTAGGAGTTTATCTATAACTTAGGCATTTATAAAGAGCCAGGCTGCAGGACAGGCTGCTCTGGGTTGGACGTGCCGCTTCCCGCACATTCGGGAGGCCCAGGAAGTGGGGGAGCTGGGGTCCCCGCAAACCCCAGCTATTCTCACGCAGGAACACCACGCACAGAGGTGGACCCTTCCTGAGGATGGTCCCTGGTCTCACCGCACAGCTGGGTCGAGGTCGGGCTGCTGGCAGGCTGCTGCCCAGACAGGGCTTCAGTCAGGGCCGAGGCGACCACGCAGTGATCCGAGAGGGGGCTGGGTCCCCGCCGTGGCGGACCTGCTCTCCGCTAGGACGGCCAGGACGGCTGAGGGCCGCGCTGCCCCAAGGAGGACTCGGGGCTGCAGACTGAAGAGGACCGGGCGTCCCACCCACCGTTTCAGGTTCCCGCCGCGCCAGTCCTGCCAGTTCCACGCAGCGCCCGGGCTCCAGACTCCCCCGCTCACTCACCATTTCCCGGCGATCGGGAGCGCAGCGCTCTCCTGTGGGTCCCGAGCGCCTCCGTGGTAGAGCGACGCGGACGGCAGGACACAGGACAACGAAGCTGCAGGTGGACCGGAAGAATGGCGGGTTCCGGAGAACAGCGGCGCTAGATGGCAGAAATCCGCCCCCTCGTCACGGGCTCTGCGCTGGATTGGACAGATCTCACCCACGTGCCCCTGATTGGACAGGACTTCAGGGCCCGCCCCCTCGAACAGAGCCCAGCGAGCCAACGCTCTGAGTGACAGTAGATTGCACCCAACCAAGGATGAATGAGACCAGAACGACAGGTTCTCGGCTCCTGTTTTTTTGTTGTTGTTGTTGTTCGTGGGTTGGTTGGTTTTTCTCCAGTATTAGCGATATAACCCAGGGACTCTCTATCCCTCATTTACATCCCCAATCCTTGTATTCTTCTCTCTTTTTTTTTTTTTTTTTTTTTTTTGAATTTTGAGACGAGGTTTTTTCTGTTTCACAAGGTGGCCTCTAACTTGGAAAGGCCTCTAACTTGGATTTCTGTTGTGCCCCACCATGGCTGACTATTTTCTTTTTCTTTTGAGGTTCTATATATTGAACCCAGAAATTCAAACTGCAGATGTTTTAAGACATGACTTCCTCTGAGTAGCGGAATCTATACTATCCAGGAAGATATGTGCATTGAACCCTGTCTCATATCAACCTTAATTATATGTTTATATATTATTCATGAATATAAAAGATTAGCAATTACTTTAATTTTTTAAATACTTTTCTGCTCTCTGGTCTTATCAGGAAGTATCTTGATCTCTGAACTGGGAAACAATACCCTAAAGCAGCAATGTCGGACTCAAACAAAATGTGAGTCACAAGTGTAATCTCAGCGGCTTGAGAGGCTGAGGCAGGAGGATGGCAGGTTCAAATGGCCTCAGCAACTAAGAGAGGCCCTAAGCAATATATGCAGAATATTATCAAATAAAATTATTAATGAAGTATTTATATTTTTGGAGCTGTATCTTGAAAACTCACTCTTTTTTATTTCAACACATCTCAATTCACAGTGGTCACACTCCAGCTGGCAGAGCTATGGCTCCCCTGACTTCAGCACCACAGGAAAAGAATAAAACTTCTTAGTAATATTTCTCCTTGGTCCAAAGCCAAGGAAAGACTACCTTCAGAAAGAGCAAGGAGCTCCTACCAACAAGTATTCAAAGTAGGCCACTATTTCTCCCACTATTTCTCATTTGATGCTGGGCACAAAGCCATTTTCCTTTCATATATCACACAGCAAACAAAGGAAGGTGGGAGTCCAGGGAGGTGGGGGGTCACATGTATTTAGATCTCTTCAGTTAAGCTCTAATTAAAGAAGATAAAGGAACATATGATTTTGAAATTTGACCTAATGGCCAGGCTGTGAAATCTGTTTCCTTCTGTGGGATGGGCACTATGAGAGTTTAGCACCAATATATGCCTGCATATATTTCTGTATAATTCAACACCATCTAATGAGAGATCTAACTTTTAAGGTAGGAGAAAAGAAAATCAGCACATGTATGGCACCTCTTATTTGCCGAATAACATTAAGTCACATGTGATTTAATCTTGGCATTAAGATAGTGAATATATTAGTTATAAATCACTGGATATAAATACTTTAAAGTGTATTAGCTCATGATTTGGGCTGGTCATTCATCTAGGCTGGACTCAGCTGGGGTCTGAATGCTGCATATAATTAGCTGATTTTTATAAGATTGCTGGACTTCAGAGGGTAGGCTGGCTGTCAACTGGAGCACCTTGGTCCTCCTCCTCATGATATTTCATCCTCCAAAAAGCTAATGTGGGCTTCATCTCATGGAAATGACAGGGTTATGAAAGCAAAAGCAAAATCATTCAAGGAATTTTGATCTTATCTATCCAATTAATACACTTTCATGATCACAGCTCTCGATAGGCCATAGAAAATAAGAAAAGCTCAGATTCAAGGTTTGGGAAAGAGATTCTGAGTTTTGACAAGAGTAGGAGTAGAAGCACATCATCAAGTTTGTGGATACAGATAAGACTGAAGAATTGCCTATAATTTGACCCTCAGTATCATTCTGCATTTTCTTATAAGTGTGGTTCATATAACTGTTTAACATAAAGGAACATGTCTAAAGTCCCACAATTATTAAGGAGTTGGGCTGAGATTTGGGGTCCACTTTGCCTGATTCCAAAATCAAAATGCCTCCACTAAACCATATGATCCATCCTTTTCTTATAATGTTAAGTGCTGGATAGTGACACTCAGAACATCAGCACTAGATTAACACCCCAGTGCTCTTCTCCAGTGGGAATAATTCCTTGAGTGAATGCCTCTGGAGCTTCTGGAAAGTTCTTGGAAAATTTTTGGGAAGCGACTAAGCACTGAATTAAGAAAACTAAGAAACAACAATATATTATATTTCCTATGACAAGAAAAGTTTTAAAACAGGTATCATGCACCCACAGGCATGGTGATAAAAAGCACACTATGGAAATTGTAAAGAGAAGCCTCATCTGTATCACAACAATGCTAAAAATGAACAACTTGAAACATCAAATAGGAAAGAATATGATGTCATAGAGTAAGACAGTATTTTTTAAAAATAAAAATATTTTATTTTTAAAATATAGAGCATCGATCAAAGAATTTGCTAAATCTCCAAGTGAAAACATCACCTGGGAACATGTCTTCACAAAGAACTGTGAAGGCCAATGTAGCTAGCTTCAGCTCAGAGGGTTTGTAGTAGTCTCCAACTGGGAGGGGACTGCAGGAATGTAACACCTATGTATTGATGGAACACACTCTGAGGCTTAAGTGCAAGGAATTAATCTAAATATGTTTGCAGGGGATTATCTCCAAATATGAGCTATGGAGAAAACATCACAAAGAATGAAAGCAATGTATAACACACAGACACACACACACACACACACACACACACACACGGATAAATTTGAATAAGATACTGATAGAAGCCAGTAGTACATAGGAATTACATATAAAGAAAGGTTAAAAAAAAAGACAAGGGTGTTTTAAGAGAAAAATGAATTCATAACCATAATGCATGAAGCAACACAGGAGTGAGTTAGTTCATTTAGGTCACCATGATGGTCACTGGTGGAGATGGAAACTGAGTGCCATCTGTCTACTTCCAGAGGTCACATTCATCCTCAAGATACTGATTCTTGAAACCCTGTGCCCCTTCTGGAAAATCATTGATTTTTCATGTCGATTTTGTAACCTGTGAATTTGCTGAATTTGTTAGCTCCAGCAGTGTTCTTGTGGAGTTTTTGAACCTTCTATGTATGCAATCATGTCATCAACAGTGATGATTTTATTTTTCCTTTCCCATTTTTATCCTTTTATTTCCTTCTCTTTCTAACACACACTGGTTAGAAGTTGTAATGCTATATTAAACAGGAGTGGTGAGAATGGACATCCTTGTCTGGTTCCAGACTTTAAAGGAAATGCTTTGTATTTTTCCTTATTCACTATGATGATGGCCTTGGGTTTTTCACAGATAGCCTGTATGATGCTGACGTCAGTTTCTTCTTCCCCTAGTTTCTCTAGTGTTTTAAACATGAACAGGTGCTGGACTTTGTCAAATGCTGTTTCTTCATCTATTGACATAACTATATGCTTTGTGTCCTTAATTCTCTTTATGTGGTAAATTACCTTTATTGACTTGCATATGTTAAACTATCTTTGCATCCCTGGTATGAAACCAAGTTGGTCACGATGTACAATCTTCTTAATATTGAATATGATTGAACAATACACTTTTGGATGATGAATAGATAATAGAAGAAAACTAGGAAGAAACTTTTAAAATTCTTAGACTCAATCAAAAATAGTGATGAAACATACCAGAAACCACGGAGAAATATGAAGGCTTTTCTAAGAAGACAGTTTATAGCTTTGAGTGCCTACCTGAGAAAATCAGATAGATCCTATATAAATGATGCACCTCAAGGCCCTTACAAACAAAAACAAATGAGTTCCAAAATCAGTTGATTATGACTTCTCAATATTTTATTAAGGTTTTTGCATCTAATTTCATCAGGGATACTGGTCTATAGTTTTCTTTCCTTGATGTATCTTTAACTGGTTTTGGTATCAGGATGATACTAGTTTTATAGAATTAATTTGATGAATTTTACCCCTTTCTATTTCATGGAATTATTTGAGGAGTGTTGACATGATATCTTCTTTGATGGTCTGGTGTGGAATTCAGTTGAGAATCTATTTGGACCTTGGTTTTTCTTGGTGGAACAGTTTTTATTACTGCTTATATTTCATTGCTTCTTATTGTTTTGTTTAGTTTTCCTAAAACTTCTTGATTAAATTTCAGCAAGTTATGTATGTCTAGAGATGTATCCATTTCCTCTAGGTGTTCTAAAATATTAGAGTATAAGTTTTGTTTTTTCAAAATATTTTTAGTTGTAAATTGACACAATACCTTTATTTATTTATATTTTTATATAGTTATGAGGATAGATCCTAGTGCTTCACACACACTAGGAAAGCACTGTACCATTAAACTACAACCCCAACCTTAGAATATCAGTTTTCAAAATAGGTTCTAATGATCCCCTGGATTTTTATGATGTCTGTGGTGATTTTTTTCTTTTTCAATTCTAATTTTTTTTAATTTGAGTGTTTTGTTTTTGTTAGTTTGGCTACAGATTTATCTATTTTCTTTATCTTTTCAAAGAACAAACTGTATATGTTTTTGGTGCCAGGAATTAAACTTGTAAGCAAAAATAATTTGGCACCATAATGAAAATACAAGTAACTGGGATGGAAGCAGACTTCAAAAAGATCAGCAAGTTTTTTTTTTTTTTTTTTTTTTTTCCCCTGCCTGCAGTGGAGTCAATCAATCAGGCAAGAAAGGATTTATTTTCTAGGTATGGAAATGGCTTACAGGGTACAGAAGTCTGGGATTTATAGTTTACAATGAGGGTGAATTAATATCATTGGAGATTATAACAGAACATTGTTCTGTTCAGACAGTCAGGAACCTAGTTGTGCAGGTTAAAATTTCAACTCAAGAAAGCAGTTGTAAAAACTTTGAAACTCATTGTCCCTGGGGAAAGCTCAGAACTAAGTGTTCACTGTTTATCTTT